GAGCTCAGGACCGAGCACTCAGTTTTAATCACTGTGTGACCTTGGATAAGTTACTTTACTACTCAACGCCTCAGTTTCCCCTTCCGTAAAACAGGAACAACAGCAGCAACTATCCCACTAGACTGAAATTAGGTTAAACAAGACACATTAAGCACTGACAACAGTGCCTGCACATACACTTAACAAATTTAAACAGATTTTACTGACAGCAATAAATTACCATGCCGGTTTTGTTTCTGAATTCAAAGACTTCACCATCTACTCTTTTGGGCAACGACCTTCGTATCTAGATAGAGTCTTCTTTTACAAAAGATCAACAGGTCTCTCTTTCCTCCTAACCAGAGTTGGCCCAGAAACCTCAAGTCTCTGGCTTGTCTATGCCAAGAAATCTTAGCTTTGGGCTTTCTAAACACTACGAAGCCTGTCACCAAGTCTAGCCGAACCAGCCCATTTCTGCGCCGACTGGGACATTTTCCTGGCCTTCAAAGGCCCAAGCTGTGTTGGACCCGGCCTGCCCTTGGTTACCGGTCCGGAGCTGGCCTGCCCTGCGTCTCCTCTCCAGAGGACTCTCCCCTCTACGTAAGCCAGGTAAGACTTCACCTCGCTCCGAAGCGCCTCGGCCAAACGCCCAGGGGGGCAGGCTCCCCGTGGTGGCGTCCAGGCCCGCCGCCCTGAGCCCGCTCCCCAGTTCCACAGCAAGCACAGGGCGAGCGGGCCGGGCCCTGCCTACCGCCGGGAGGCACGAGCTCCGGCCCGAGGCCACCACGTGGGCACACCGGGGGCGCTAGGCATCCGGAACCCGTCCCGGGGGCTGCTCCCCGTGCGGCCCTACGCCGGCCCGAAACTGGCCTGAGGGGCACTCCCGACCTGATTTCTCCTCCCATATCCATCCGGACGCTCCCGACATCTGCTTCAGACTGGATACAGGCTCTCGCCAGACCCCGGCTCCCCAAGACCTCAGCCCGAGCACCCATCTGCCGAGCTGCCTCACTCACCCATCGCGGCTCCGCTCGCTCAGACTTGGCGGCGGCCGCAGCAGTAGCTTCAGCGGCAGCTTCGGCAGACAATATGGCGGACCTGCGGGACGGCGGCCTGATAGGGACAAACATTTTACTCCGTACTAAAACGCGTTCTTAGCCCTCACGCCCCCTTCCCTCCTGGAGATGGGCGGCTGTTTAAAGCGAACCACAGCCACTAAAGGCGTCAATTAGGAACAGAACAAACAAGGCTAGAGGAAGACTAGAAGGGATATATACTGAACAATGTGTCAAGCTCTCAGCTGTTTTTGTTTTTATTTCTTCTTTATGGGGAGGCTTCCTTTCCCAGAAAGATATTCCTTTTTTTTTTTTTAAATAAGCCCATATAGAACTGAATAAAGAATCATCTAGAAAGGGGAAGTGATTTGTTCAAGGCTATGGAGATAAGGAAAATAAGTCAAGATTAGACTGGAGTTTCTCGTTTTTGTTCATTGGAGACAGGGTCTCTCTCTCTCTCTCTCTTTCTCTCTCTATGTCTCCGGTTTGCCTGTAACTCTCCAAATAGACCATGCAGACATCGAACTCAGAGATTCACCTACCTGTGCCCTCCAAGCGCTGGGATGAAAGACTCCAGGTCTTTTTTGTTTGTTGAGAAAGGGTTTCGAGTATCCCAGAGTATCCTCTGGTGAGTAAGAGTAAGTAAATAGGGTGACTTTGAACTCCAGAGGCCCTCCATCCACCTCCCTGGCGCTGATATTACAGGTGTGTACTATCACACCAAGAGTAGTTTAAAAGATTCTCCAGTGAGTGAGTGAGTGTGTGAGTGTGTGTGTGTGTGTGTGTGTGTCAGAGCCCACAAATCTCATTAAGGGTAGAGGTCAGTTCTGTATTGCTTCAACACCAGGGCCACCAGTGTCTGGCTTATGGCTACTGAATAAAGAAACAAACAAAAAAAATTAATAGGCTAGGGGCTGGAGAGATGGCTCAGAGGTTAAGAGCATTGCCTGCTCTTCCAAAGGTCCTGAGTTCAATTCCCAGCAACCACATGGTGGCTCACAACCATCTGTATTGAGTTCTGGTGCCCTCTTCTGGCCTGCAGGCATACACACAGACAGAATATTGTATACATAATAAATAAATATATTTTTTAAAAAAAGACAAAAAAAAAGCAAAAACTATTTAAAAAAATTAATAGGCTAGTAAACTCCCTTTCCTAGTAATGAGGAAATTAAAGCTTTTGCCTTTTGAATCAAGGAATGTTGGACTGATACCTAGGCTCAACACATAGAGCTGTCTTTATGTGCAATCTTTAGTCTCCATCTTTTGGAAGGAAATGAAGACTCTTGTATCTGGTCTTTGGGGCCTATCACAACAAATTGCCAAGTCTACCCACATGCCTGGCCAATTAAGGATAAAAACTCAAAAAGTCAAAGTTCTACGCCTCAACTTGAGGGAAAGGAACATTGTGTCTACCTTCAAGCAGAACCTGCCACGCTGATTTGCCTCATCTCACAGATCTCCAGGCCCAGTTTTCCTCACCCATCTGCTTGAAAACCATCCGCCTGACATCAAGGACCGGGGAGTGGGCTCGGCAGGTAAAAGTGCCGATGGCCTAAGCCTGAAGACTGGAGCTGGACCCCTGGATTTCCTGGTGCACATAGGTTTCCAACTTTGGAAATTTGTTCATTATCTCTACACACTTTCTGTAATAAAAACACACCTGCTTGTGTGCATGCACACACAAACACTTACAAACAAAAACATGAGTGTTTGGGTTAGAGCCGTAGCTCAGTGGTGGAGTGCCTGCCTAGCAAGCACAAGACCCTGGGTTTAGTCCTGAGTTCTGGAAGAAAAAAAATTCTTTAAATACGAAAAAGATCAGCACACACACACAAAAATAAAAGAAAACAAAAGAAAGGTAACTGAGCATATCGGTGTCACTCTTTGGCCTAGCAGTTTCCCGCTGCCTGATTTCAGGAATGGCCGAACCTATCTGGTGCACAAGCTGGTTCTTGGGCTCCTAGCTTCTCTGTGTAGGCAGATGCAGCTCCTGCCACAGAACACAGCACCGTCCCTTGCCTTGTTTGACCGAGATCCAATTCCATGATCACCACTGCCTGTCTTCCCGGTCAGGGTGTCTGTCCTCCGCTCTGGCAGCTGTCTTCCCGGTCAGGGTATCTGTCCTCCGCAGTCAGGGTGTCTGTCCTCCGCTCTGGCAGCTGTCTTCCCGGTCAGGGTATCTGTCCCCCGCAGTCAGGGTGTCTGTCCCCCGCAGTCAGGGTGTCTGTCCCCCGCAGTCAGGGTGTCTGTCCTCCGCTCTGGCAGCAGTATTCTGCTTTTCTAAAGCTTTGCCCACTGATCAGGTCCCAAGGCATGTTCACATCTCCCTATCATCTAAGGGAGGAAAGAGATCTTCCCCATCTTTGTTGTCCCGATGTCCAGGACAGTGCTTGCTAAACTGCCAAGTTCTACCCCGTCCACCTGTCTACCCTGTGGCCATAAGTAGAAAGGCTAAGGTGTGGGCATCCCTGCATCCCTTCTCCTCAGAGCGTTCGAAACTATGCCTAGTGACCAGGTGACTTCCCACAGCTGTTTCTAGGACACAGCCTGTTCACAGTAACATCTCCCCATCATCCAGCCTCCATGTGATAGGGACCACACTCTGCTTGTCCTCACCCAACACTGGAGTGTCACAGACCTCCTAGCCTTTCCCCTCACCGGGGTGTTTTCCTCCTCATGCCCACTAGTGGCCAGTGTAACCCCAACTGCCACCTCAGAAGCATGGAGAGCACAACAGCCTCCCCCCCTGGGCTGCTCTTTTTTCTTTTCAGGAAAAACTTTTTTTTTTTTTTTTTTTTGGTTTTTCAAGACAGGATCTCACTATAGCTCTGGTTATCCTGGAACTAGCTCTGCAGACAAGGCTGAGCTCAAACTCAGAGATCCAGCTGCCACTGCCTCCTGAGTGCTGGGATTAAAGATATGCGCTACTACACCTGGCTTAAAACAAGTTTTAAAATTACATTGATTGGTGCCGGGCGGTGGTGGCGCACGCCTTTAATCCCAGCACTCGGGAGGCAGAGCCAGGTGGATCCCTGTGAGTTCGAGGCCAGCCTGGTCTACAAGAGCTAGTTCCAGGACAGGCACCAAAAACTACGGAGAAACCCTGTCTCGAAAATCAAAAAAAAAAAAAAAAAAAAATTACATTGATTGGGTGGAGAGTTGACTCAGCAGTTCAGAGCCTTGCTGCTTTTGCGAGCACCAGGGTTTGAGTACTGGCAAACATTTGGTGGCTCCCAAACCATCTGTAATTCCAATCTTGGGGGGTTCAATGTCGTCTGCTAACTTCCAGTGGCACTAGGCACACATGTACGGAGCATATAAGCAAAGCACTCATATACATAAAAATTAATCTGAAAATAAGTCAAAATTACATTTATTTGATGTGTGTGTGTGTGTGTGTGTGTGTGTGTGAGGGAGGCCAGAGGACAACTCACAGGAGCCAGTTCTCTCCTTCCATCACACTGAGTCCAGGGACTGCACTCTGGTTGTCAGGGTTGGTGCGAAGGACCTTGACCCTGTGAGCCACCTTACTGGCATTCCCTCCCCACCTCCCCACCATGAAGCAGTGTTCTGCTTGGCACCAGGCCCTGGGCAGGGTTGCAGTGACTGCATACTGGGAGAATCAAGACATATTCTACTAGGATAACAGGGGCACACCTTTCGGAGGATTTTTATACCCAGCTCTATCACTCCACAGCTGGATCACCACAGCAACTCATTAGAGCTCTGAGTTTCAGTTCACCCGTGGGAGTGACAGCACACATCTCCCTGTCACAACGATGACAAGGCCTGAAGGAGTATATGCAGAAGCGTCTGTACACAACTGACCTTCAGTTAGCAACAGCAATCAGTTACCACAGCCTCTGGGATCCACAGAAGCCACGAGGAGCTTCCCGGCGCAGAAGCCCACACCTGACTGTGCCTGACAGGCAGAAATAAGAGAAAGAACCACAGGACACAGGCTTGTTGGGAGTATAAAAATAAGACTTCTTTTCTTCTTATCACATCAATTATCAAAGAAAGAAACATTACAGTAACAAAAATACAAAGCTCTGGTGGATTTTTTTTGTTTTTGTTTTTTTGTCTTTTTTTCCCCACCCTTCCCAAACAAACCCAACAGCCCTTAGCCAGGAGGCCCTTAGGTGAAGCCTGGCTGCTGTCTCAAGGATCACCCTGGAGCTCAGGAGAACCGGTGGTCCAGGTCTCTCTGGGGACTGGCCGAGTACGAGTAGGCTTTGCCCAACACCAGGCGGTCCCGGAGCAGCTTGAAGAAGGCGTAGTAGTTGCTGAAGAGGATGAGGGCCAGGGAGATGGTCTGGTGCCACTTCTCAGAGGACATTAAGGAGTACAGCTGGTAGACAATGACAGCGCCCTCCAGCAGCAGGAGGATGTTAAGGATCCTCAGTGGGTTGCTGAAAAAGAACTACCCAGGGGAGGGTAGGCAGAGGCCAGAGGGCATGCTCCAAAATCTGTCCCTTGGATGAGGGGGTCTTGGCGCATGGTAAAGGGGACAAGCCCTTGGGGTCCTATGTGTATTTGGGTGGGGAAAGACTGTGTAAGGTCAGGGGTGAACTCTGCCACCTCATCTGTCTTTGCTTACAGTGTACTGCTGCTTCCGCATAAGCTGTTGAAGATACTTCTGGAAAGCCTTCTCTGAGAAAGAGGTCTTGCTTGCTATTTCAAACTCTTTCTGGCCTAAAATCAACTTTTCATTTATTTGTTAGCAGACTGGCCTTGAACACCTTCCTTGGCCTCCCGAGTGCTGGGATTAAAAACAAAACAAGCACCACCATACCCCGCTCAACTGTTTTTAATGTTAACCTCTGCAGTATTGTTGGACATGAACAAATCAGAATCCCCGCCTTTTTTTTTTTTTTTAAACAGTGCTAGGGATTGAACCCAGGCTTTGTAAGTGCAACAGACTTTAGCAGCAAATCTGGTATCATCAGCAAGGAATGGCATTCCTTTATTTTTCATTGCTAGGCATCACAAGTACAGGAAGTCTGAGTACGCACTACAGCACCTCGACTGTGAGCACGGAGGACATAGTGACACCTCTTACAAGGACATGGAAGGAAAACAGAATGTAGAACTCAAGAAAAAAGTGTCCAGGAATCTCAGTCTGCAAGGAAAAGAACCACCAACTTGTAGCTGGGGGTGGGGGAGCTGAAGGGACCAGGATGCTGGGTTCAGGCCTGGGCAGTGAGTGTAGGAACAAGACTCTTCTCTCTCTGAGATATGAAGATGACTGCCCAGGTTAATGGTCTCCCAAGCTATGACCCTTAGTGCCCTGGCTCCACAGGGTCCTCCAGCTCCAGCAGAGGTCACTAGGAAGTAAAGGAATTCTAGGCCCTTGAAATAGAGAGGTGCCATGAAGTTTCTGTTGGAAAAGGGATTGGAGGCCATCAGCCTTACTGAGTTAGGGCAAGCAAGCCTGTTCCCTATGCTGACTCAGGCCATTTACATGAGTTCCCAAGTTTCTCAGTAAGTAAATAAGTTTCTCAGTAAGTAAATAAGTTTCTCTTGAATATGTTAAACATGCATTGAATCATGCATCAATGATTGATGCATCAATCATGCATCAAAAGCAGGGAATCAGCAGTATTATTTCCACTGCTAAGATCTCTCTGTCCGTCCTCCCTCCCACCCCCCTTTTTCTCAGTAGGCTTAAAGGCATGAGCCACCAGGTCCTGCAGAACCCTTTCTTTGATTGTATGAGCATCTCTTCCTCTAGTCAGTACTCTGCAGGCAAGGGAGCTGCAGTTATGCTGACCCGTGTGGACACCCTTGGGCTGCATGTGTGCACCATCCTCCTCTGGGCTTTGGAAATAGTGAAAACAGACATCATCATCCTGTTAAACCCACCCACTCCCTGTCCTGAAGATCAGGTACCACCCTCCTGCCCAGAAAAGAACACTCACGTGGAACCGGAAGTGGGAGACATCGGAGGGGATGGCGACATTGTAGTGGCCCACTGCTTTGTAGACATTCTTACTGTGCTTCACCAGCACACCCTGTGGCCACATGCATTCTTCAGTCCACCTGGAGGCACAGTCCAAGAGTACACTTTGTCGCCAGCTCATCCATGAAAATGGATACTAGAGAATCGGGCACGGGGTGGTCACTAGGACTCTACTTCCATTTCTATCGCTCTGACACTGGGACTCCGCCTCTGGTCCCAGCTGCCTCCTCTATAAAATGGGATAACAACCGTAAGTAATTCACTGCACTGAGACGTCCAGGGGTGAGAGGTTAGGAAGAAAACCCTTTTCCCTTTCTACTTGCCTCACTTGTAACCTCCTAGGGGTCCACAGAACCAGGAATAAATGTTTAAAATGTCCTGAAGGTTTTGCAGGATCCCAGGGATTAGACATGACTTCTTGAGCTCCTATACAGCACCTTTGCCTTCTACTGCACTTCTCATATCCCTGCCTAAGTCACTCTCCCCAAACAAACTGATCTTCCTGATGCCCTGTCCTGAAAGGTTCTTTCTCATCTTTCCAAATCTAATATCCTCCAGAAAGCCTTTCTCAAACTCTTTACAAAACTGAGTATCTTGTATTGTTCCCTGAAGTTCCTGCTACTACTGGTCTACACTGCCCAGGGTTTGCCATCAGCTTGTTCCCCAGTCCATATCATTCCTTTAGAAGTAGACAGCATCTGCTCCATGCCTGTGTCCTCAGGGCATGCCACAAAACCTGGCACTGAGAAGCCAAATGAGAGCAGGGTATCTTCCGATGTCCTGTGGGATTCCAGGGACAGACCTCCAGCTATCAGCAGCTCTCGTGTACCCTATACTCCTGCCGCAGTGATTCATTCCCTTAAACATACGGCCACAAGGTAGAACACTGACTGAAAGAAGCTGGACACAGGAGTGATTACTTAGACCAGGGGTGGTATATGCCTTTAATCCCAGCACTTGGGAGGCAGAGGCAGGTGGATCACTGAGTTTGAGGCCAGCCTGGTCTACAGAACAAGTTCCAGGACAGCTGGGCTACTCAGAGAAATCCTGTCTTGAAAAAAAAAAAAAAAAAAAAACAAAACAACCAAACAGGAGTGCCTACTTATGATTTCATTTATATAAAGTTCTGGAATATGCAAACTAAATTTTATGTACAATTTCATTTATATAAGGCTCTAGAACTGGAAAATCCAACCTATGGTGAAAGAAAAGGTAGGCAGCTAGGTGTATGTGTGTGTGTGTGTGTGTGTGTGTGTGTGTGTGTGTGTGTGTATTGGGGGAGGTTTACTGGGAAGGACTATGAAGATTATTTTCTATGGAGCTAGAAATTTACTATACCTTGATATAGGTAGTAGGTTAAATGAATGTTTATGCCTTTGTCAAAACTAAAAGAGCTGGGAATAGTGGCACACACCTTTACTCTAAGCACTCAGGAGGCAGAGGCAGGCAGATCTCTGAGCTTGAGGCCAGCCTGGTCTACAGAGTGAGTTCCAGGAAAGCCAGGGCTACACATAAAAACCCCGTCTCAAAAAAAAAAAAAAAAAAAAAAAGGAAAAGAAAAGAAAAAAAAGAGAGAAAAAACAAATAAATAAAAACCCTCAAAGAATTGTAGAATTTGTAGTTTATATAGTATATTTCACTCTATGTAAATTTTACATAAAAAAACTAGGGCTAGAGCAATGGCTCAACAGTAAGAGCACCAGTTGCTCTTGAAGTTGGGTTAAAATCCCAGCACCCATGCAGTGGCTCACACCAGCTGTAGTTCCAGTTCCAGGGAATCCGACACCCTCTTCTGACCTCTGTGGTCACCAGATATGCAAAGAAAACACTCATATCCAGAAATGAATCTAAACAGTTAGAAAAAATAAAAATAAACACGAAACCTAGCCAGGCACTGCAATGGGAGAGAGGAGACAGCTGCATGCTACATGGGCGAGAGCCATGGTTTCCAGAGGCTTTTAGTCCTGGAATGAGTGACAGGAGACAAAGGAAAAGAAGGTAGCGGGTGAAGGGAGTGTGGTGTACAGCACTGAAAGGAGAGGTCCTTTACGGAGGAGGGCACCTGGGGTCATCTGGGTGGCCAGGAAATAAGGGAAGATAGAAAGAACATTCCAAGCAAAAGCTACCATGGGGACAGCTACCACGGGGACAGCTACCACGGGGACAGCTACCACGGGGACAGCTACCATGGGGGACAGCTACCACGGGGACAGCTACCACGGGGACAGCTACCACAGGGACAGCTACCACGGGGACAGCTACCACAGGGAAAGCTACCATGAGGACAGACTGGATGTGGGAAAGCTACCACGGGGACAGCTACCACAGGAACAGCTACCACGGGGACAGCTACTATGGGGACAGACTGGATGTGGAAGTGCATAAAGCAGATGAGAACCAAAGAGGTCTGGTCTGGCTAGAGGCAAGTGTGTGCTAGTATATAGGACAAAAAACAATGGGCTCATCAGCCCCAGTCAAGCAACCTGGAAGCTGTGCGAAGGGTCTTGATCTTAGTTGAGACCTGGGTTAGGTACAGACAGGGAGCATGCTTTCTTTCTTTCTTTTTTCTTTTTCTGGTTTTTTCAAGACAGGATTTCTCTGTAGAGCCCTAACTGTCCTGGAATTCACTCTATAGACCTCAAACTCAGAGGCTGCTTCTGCCTCCCAAGTGCTGGGATTAAAGGCATGCACCATTACATCCGGCTACATTCTCTCCTTCTACTCCTTCTTCTCTCCAGCATAGGTGGGTAAGCCAAGTCCTCTTATGGAGCATTCAGTAAGATCACTTCTCTCTGAACCTCCTAAACCTAGCAGGAAAAGGATCCTGATTGACAGGAGCATTAATACAAGGCACTTGGCCTTGGAGCTCTCTTGTGCTTCTACCTTAGCTGGCCTCCTCCTACAAAGCTGTCCTAGAAGCTTCCTCTCAGCTGGCTTCAGATGCAGGTATGAGAACCTTCAATGAGAGAGGATCAGTATAATCGCGACAGGGACTCAGTTGAAGGGCTGTGCAGGTATTAGGCACTGGTGAAGAACGAGGAGGCTGAAGAAAGGTTAGCTCAGCACCCCAGGCTCCTGTGCAGGGAACAGTGTTAGCCTGCAGCTAGGCCTTTTGCTCACAATCTTAGCTAATTCTCATGTGGTTACCTTCTTGCATCAGTCTGTGAACTTCTCAGAGATTTCATCTGTTGTTTCACCCCTACAGCTCTCCCTCACTGGCCAGGCTTTGCCATGAGCTAACAGAACTGCTTCTTGTCCTCAGTGAGGTTTTGAAAAGAACACACTGGAAAGGTTCTTTCTACTGTGCAAAGTCCTCTATAGCTCCCCTTAGCTTACAGGTCAAAGAGCAAGTTCCTCTGCCTGATGCAGAGCCCCAGGCCTGGGATGGCGTAGGTAGAAGTGAATGACAACTAAAGGAGCAGTCAATGCAATGGGGAAGGGATGAGTGAGCAGGAGTGATGACTGCATGCATGAGCAAGAAGTCAGAGAGTGAACGAGAAAGTCAGTGTGTCCCTGCATTATCACCCGTGCCCCTCCCATGTATAGCACACCTGCAAGCTCCCCACGGACAAAGAACAGATCTATCTAGAGCTCCACCACACTCTAGATACAAGTTCTAATATATAAGACAAGTTTAATAACTATTTGCTGGCCAACTGAATGAGCTAATGAGAAGATGGGAAGTAACTTCATACCGTGACTGGGAGAACTAGGGTAATTGGCCAGGGCAGGGTGGGGCAACTCACGGGTGCTGCAGCACGTTGGAGCAAAGAGCTGGGTCCACCTTTTGCCAGCAGCCCAGATGGGCAGCAGCCTTGTGCAGCAGGTCGCAGTAGCTGGCGGGAAGCAGGTGCTGCATGAGGATCACAGAGGTGCTGATGGACACCAGCAGGAAGAGCTCACAGGACCAACGCTTGTCATAGTAATGTGTATTCTGGGGAGAGCAGGAGGTGGGTGAGGCTCAGGATGTCCATGATGGCCTCACGCCCTCATCCTTCCCTGATTTGACCTAGAAGCCAGGGCGGAACCTTGGAGATTTCAGGATGGCCTGAAATCAACAATTATGGACCTTGGAAGGGCAGCTCAACTCCCAAGGCCACCAGTTTCCTATGATGGAATACTGCTCTGCTGCCACCCACGTGGGGTCAGAGCATGCTCAGGGATCCAAAGGAAAGAGTGGAGCAGTTCGGCTCTGCTGTACATTAACAACTCTGGGACTTCTGGCAAATAATTTAACTCGTCTATGCTCTCCTTTCTTCTTTAGTTAGATGAGAGTAAGGGGAATCACCAGCAACCCAGGCATCAGAGAGATTCTGTACATAGCAAAGTTCTCTGCAGGCAGAGTCCTCAACACATCCAATTAAAAAAAAAACAATTTCATGTGGGGCTGGAGATGTGTCTCAATAGTTAAGAGCATTGACTGCTGTTCTTCCAGAGGATCTAGATTCAATTCCCAGTACTGACATGGTGACTCACAACTATTTCTAACTCCAGTTTCAGGAAACCTAATACCCTCTTCCGGCCTCTGAGGGCACCAGGCACATAAGTGGTACACAGACCCATACATGCAAAAACACCCACACATACAAATTAGAAAACAAATTATTTTATGTGATGTGTATGAGTATTTTGCCTCCATGTGTGTCTGTGTACCATGTGCATGCAGTACCTGCAGAAAACAGCTTTCAACCTCCAATATATATTTTTTTTAATTCGATTTGTTTTTTGAGACAGGATTTCTCTGTGTAGCCCTGGCTATCCTGAAACTTGCTCTGTAGACCATGCTGACCTCAAACTCATGGAGATTCACCTGCCTCTGCCTCCCAAGTGCTGGGATTAAAGGTGTGGGCCATCACCACCCGGCTTCTAACTCCAACCTTTAAAGTTTATCCTGTGGCCAGAGAGCTGGTTCAGGAGGTAAAGGTACCTGCTTCCAGAACTGACAACCTGAGTTCAATCTCCAGCACCCAGATTGTGGAAGCGGAGAATCAACTCCCACAAGCTGACCAGTGACACACAAACACACACACACACCAATGTTAGCACAGTGCATCCCGGAGCAAGATTTCCAGTCTATTACAACTAAAGAGGTACCTTCCCAGAAGAAGCTGAGAAGAGAGGGGACACTTTTGAGGTCACTAAGATCTGATGACTCTTGGTTTCTTTCTTTCTTTCAAGATTTATTTCTTGCCAGGAGGTGGTGGCTCACGCCTTTAATCCCAACACTCAGGAGGCAGAGACAGGCGGATCTCTGTGAGTTTGAGGACAGCCTGGTCTACAGAGCTAGTTCCAGAATAGGCTCCAAAGCCAGAGTGAAACCCAGTCTCAAAAAACAAAAGAAAAAACAACAACAAAAAAATATTTTTTTAAGTGTATAAGTATTCTGCCAGCATGTACGTACATATACCACATGAGGCAGTACCTGCAGAGGCCGGAAGAGAGTAGCAGAGCTCTTAGAACTAAAGTTACAATCGTGAGACACTGCCGAGCTGTGGTGGCGCTCACCTTTAATCCCAGCACTCTGGAGGCAGAAACAGACAGATTTCTGTGAGTTAGAGGCCAGCCTGGTCTACAGAGCTAGTTCCAGGACAGCCAGGGCTGTTATACAGAGACAACTTGTCTCGAAAAACAAAAACAAACAAACAAAAAAGGACAATAACAATTACGAGACACCATGTGGGTGGGCACTGGGAACTGAACCCTGCAGGAGCAGCAGTGCCCATGAACTGCTGAGTCATCACTCCTGCCCTAGCTCCTGACTTCTTTATCCAATGGCAAAACAGGACACTCAGACCCATGCCAAAGCAGCCACTGACTTACCAAGTCTCTTCCATTAATTAGGAGTTCTTGGATAGGTCACTCCCTTTAAGGTAACCTTATTCTCTTTATTCCAGATCTCCAGAGGAGATATCCAATCAAAACTGGTAGAGATGAGTCTGGGAAGATGACTCAATAGGTAAATCATTTGGTGCACAAGCAAGAGTAACTGACTTCCGGTTTCAAAACCTATGCTAGGTACGGTGGCTTGGCATCTGTATATTCAACACTGGGAAAGCAGAGACAGGAAGACCTCTAGGTCTAGTCAAGCTCCAGATTTAATGACAGACCTTCTCAAGAAATAAGGTGGATGGGGCTGGAGAGATGGCACAGAGGTTAAGAGCACTGGCTGCTCTTCCAAAGGTCCTGAGTTCAATTCCCAGCAGCCACATGGTGGCTCATAACCATCTATGATGAGATCTGGCGCCCTCTTCTGGCCTGCAGGCATACACGCAGACAGAACACTGTATGCATAATAAATAATTCCAAAATAAAAAAAATACGGAACACTGTATGCATAATAAATAAAAACTACTGAGGAAGACACCCAATAACAATCTCTGGCTTCATGTACACACACATACATTCACAAATGCACTCTCACATGTGCGCGCGCACACCCCCCTCTAGAAAACAAGTAACGAAAACCCCAGGAGAGCTACTTATACAAGAGGGCTTGGGGGAGGGCGGCAAGCCTCTTTGCTTGTGTTGAGCTATGTACCTTGACAAACCACACAGGAACAAAGGCCACATAATAGGCACTCAGCATGGAGCTGACAAGCACTTCCTTCATGCGCCAATTGAAGTCCATTTTGAGGAACTCCACTTCATTGCGGATGAGGCTCGGTGACAAGCAGCAGGCATGGGTAGGCATGGCTTCTGGGCCATACAGCTGTCGAGTGTGCTGCTTCCAAGTCTCCCGCAGTGTCAGCAGGTAGTCCCGACTCCTTGCCAGGCCACTGACCGCCTCTCGGGGCCCCATGGAAGGCACATGGTTGAAGAGGTTCGTCTTGCGAAGATCATAGTTCAGCTGCAGGAACGGAATGTACATCCCAAACCTGCTGCAGAAGACAGTGATGAGGCCAGGTCTGTCCAAGAGTCAGAATCCCGACCCTCAACCTAGGGGCAGGGGGGCAGGGACACAACTCTGCTTTTCCCTCTGGGCCTCAGATCTCCTGGATACTCTGAGAGGAAAATCTACTAATTCTCCTATACCTCCGTCTTTCCATCCAAGTCAATGGTTGAAAACACATCTCAGCATCAAGCACATGCTAGAACTGAGGACACAGTAGGAAGCGAGAAGGAAGTTCTTTCCTGCATGGTGATAACTAACAATCACCATAGCACCCACATTCACTGAGCACAGTCTATGGTTCGGGCTAAGTCTTTTTTTTTTCCCCCAAGACAAGAATTTCTCTGTGTAGCTGTCCTGGAACTCACTCTGAAAACTAGATGGCCTCAAACTCAAGAGATCTACCTGTTTCTGCCTTCTGAGTGCTGGGATTAAAGACATACATGCTCCACCACCACCTGGCTCAGACTAAGTATTCTACATGCAACGTCTTCTTTTTATAAGAATAACAAGCCAGTGGTGGAGGAGCACACCTTTAATCCCAGCACTTGGGAGGCAAAGGGAAGCAGATCTCTGTGAGTGTGAGGCCAGCCTGGTCTACGGAGCTAGTTTCAGGATGGCTGTTACATAGAGAAACCCTGTCTTGAAAAATCAAAACAAAACCAAAGAATAAGGGTGAGAGAGCTGGAGTGTAACTCAGTAATTAAGAGTGCTTACACCTCTTCAAGCCAGGTTTGGTTCCCATCACCCATACATCCTGCAGCACACATAAATTCATAGGCTCAAACACATACATATAGATAAATGGAGAAAAAGACCGAAACAAAAAAGACTCTCAAAGACAAACCAGAGTAAAGGTAGAAAAAGATACTTTGGACATAAAAGGACATAAAACACATATTTCCCAGTCATTGCTAAGGCAATTACCTGACAATGCACTTAGCAAAATAAGGGAGAAACCCAAGAAGCATGGGATTTAAGAAAACATGCGATTCAGGAGGGCAGCAAGGAAGTCCCAGGCTGAGCTACGCAGCAGGCCTACAAAGCAGGCACTTCATTCTGGAGCAGGAGGATGGAGGCCTAAGGTGGGAGACCTCTGGCAGGGGAGGGAATGGGCTCCAGATAACAGGTGATATGCTGGAAGGGCTGGGTAAATGAGGATGTGATGACAGGCCATCTTTCTTTTGTCACCAAGAAACATGGCAATTACAAACTCCACTTAAGGGTTCTATTATGTAAATATGAAGCACACTAAAATATAGCATGAGTTTAAGGACTGATAGAATCGGAGAGAAACCGTCTGACTCTTACACTAGCAAGTCTTTTCACGAGGCCCAAGACCATAGCCTAGGAACTACAATGAATGTTATTTTTGCACTCTTCCTAAGGCAACAAACTTAGTGGTTTTAACTTTTATAATTAGCTTCAGACAAAGATGGAGAGCTTAGATGTGGTTATATAAGAGAATGTGAATACCAATCTTGACACATAAATGCCTATAGTCACCAGGAAGTGAGAGGAGGAAAGAGAAAAGAACGGGGGATGGCTAGAGTCCTAATATTTTTTCTTAAATAAAAAAAAAATCTAATCATATGTATACGGTAGTGTGTACATGTGAATATGTGCATGTGTGACTCCCAGAGTCCAGAAACAGAGTTGTATCCCCTGGAGCTAGAGTTACAGGCAGTTGTCAGCCACAAACATGGGTACTGAGAACTGAACTCCTGTCCCCAGGGAGAATATGTGCTGTTAACCACTGAGCTGAGCTCCAGATTGTAGGGAATCAGCGTGCATGTGCTCGCACGCTGTGTGTGGTATGCTTGTGGATGCACTCATCTCCAGTCCAGGTATCTAAGAAACAGAAACAGCGCTGATTCCTCCTTAGAAGGGAAACGAGATGACTGGGAGGTAGCAGCAGTCAAGGTAGAATTTTTCAATTTACACTATTATATCTTCTTTTGTTTGGTTGGGTTTTTTTGTTTGTCGAGACAGGGTTTCTCTGTAGCTTTGGAGCCTGTCCTGGAACTAGCTCTTGTAGATCCGAGTGCTGGGATTAAAAGCGTGTGCCACCACCACCCGGTTTACACTATTATATCTTTCTTCTTCTTCTTTTATCTTTTGATTTAAAAATTATTTACTTTTAGGGCCAGGCGGTGATCCCAGTACTCAGGAGGCAGAGGCAGGTGGATCTCTGTGAGTTCAAGGCCAGCCTGATCTACAGAGTAAGTTCCAGGACAGGCTCCAAAGTCACAGAGAAACCCTGCCTTGAAAAAGCAAACAAACAAACAAACAAACAAACAAATAAAATATTTGCTTTATTTCATGAGTGTTCTGCCTACACGTATGCCCAAGGATACCAGAAGAGTGTTTATGGATCTTTTGCAACTGAAGCTACAGTTGTCAGTATCATGTGAGTGCTGGGAATGGAACCCAGAGCCTCTGGATGAGCAGCCAGAGCATGTAACTGGCTACAGAGGAAGATCCTGTCTCAACACATGCTCCCCTGAAAACCCCAAACATTAAATAAACAAGACAAACAAACAAAAAAATAAGCCAGGCAGTGGTGGTGCACACCTTTAATCCCAGCACTTGGGAGGCAGAGGCACATGATATCTTTGAGTTCCAGGCCAGCCTGGTCTACGGAGTGAGTTCTAGGACAGCCAGTGCTACACAGAGAAACCCTGTCTCAAAAAACCAAAAAAAAAGAAAAAAGAGAAAAAAACCAACCAAAAAAACAAATATAAATCCCACTAAAACAACTTAAATTATATGAATATATTGGCTAATAATAAAATTACTAAGAGTTTTAAGTGGCAATCAAAGGTATAGATATAATAATTTAAGTAGTGAGACATGGAGGAACATGCCTTTAGTCCCATTAGAGAATCAGTGGCAGATGCAGCTCTGTAAGTTTGATGCCAGCTTGGGCTACACAATGAATTAGATCTGGGTCAGGTAGGGTTATACAATGAGACCTATTTCAAACAAATAAATAAAGCAAAAAAATAAAAAACACTGTAAGTAAAAGTTTTTATTTATTTATTTTGGGTTTTTAGAGTCAGGGTTTCTCTGTATTGGAGCCTGTTCTGGAACTAGCTCTTGTAGACCAGGCTGGTCTTGAAAGTACCTACCTGCCTCTGCCTCCTACCACCTGGCTGACTGTTGATTTTTTTCGAGATAGGGTTTTTCTGTGTCCCAGAACTCACTTTGTAAACCTGGCTAGCATTGAAGTCAGAGATCTGCCTGCCTCTGCCTCTGGAGTGCTAGGATGAAAAGTGTGCACTATCACTGCCTGGCTTTTTAATTATTTACTTTTATTGTAAGGGTATCAGGTCCTCTGGAACTGGAGTTACAAACAGTTGTGAGTTGTCAAGTGGGTGCCGGGAACTGAACCCAGGTCCTCTGGCAGAGCAGTCAATGCTCTTAGCTACTGAGCCATCTCCCTAACCCCCCAACTCTCCTTTTTAAGACAGGGTCTTGCTTTTGTGTAGTTCTGGCTGTCCTTGAACAACATAAGGCTGGCCTCAAACTCTGCCTGCCAGCCAAGTGCTGTGATTAAAGGCCTACACCATTATACCCAGCTTTTGGGGGTGGGGTGGAAGGTCTCATGTAGCCCAGGCTAACCTCAACTTTGCTATGTAGCTGGTAAAAACTCTCCTGCTCCTAAGTGCAAGGATTATAGGACTGTACCATGACTCCCAGCTAAGAAACTTACTTTGCCAGACAATGGTGGTTCATACCTTTAGCCTCAAAACTCGGGAGGCAGAGGCAGGCGGATCTCTGATAGTTGAAGGCCAGCCTAGTTAATAGAGTGAATTCCAGGACAGCCAGGGCTGCATAGTGAAATCCTATAGCAGGGAACTAGAAATCTGGATGGTGCAATTGGAGGCTGTTTTATCTTTTTAACTATATTAATTTACTTTTTATATTAATTTAACTTTTTAACTATATTAATTTATTTACTGTTTTGTTTTCTTTCTTTCAAGACAGGATTTCACTGTTTAGCTCTGGCTGTCCTGGAACTTGTTCTGTAGAGCAGGCTAGCCTCAAACTCAGTGATCCACCTGCCTCTGCCTCAGGAGTGCTGGGACTAATGGTTTGTGCCTCCACTGCCTGGATTAATTTAGTTACTGGAAGCAGGGGGTGAGCAGGGAGGGAGGCACGCCATAGCACACCTGTGCATGTCAGAGGACAACCAGAAGGAGCCGGTTCTCTCCTTAGCCATGTGGGTCCCGGGGTGTCAGGGGAGCACCTTTCCTCACCAAGCCATCTCACTGGCCCAGTGTGTTAAAGTTTATGACAAATGTAGGGGAAATACTCTTTGTGCAGTGGTTCTAATCGCTGGAAATCCACTGTGCGCTAATACTGAAGGGGTGAAAAAAGTGTGCACTTGTTACAAGGGAAAGACAGAATCTCTAAAGTCTCACAAACAGACAAATCCAAGTGTGGAAACGCGAGGACCAGTGAGAGGGCTCAGCAGGCTAGGGGCTTGCGGCCAAGTCTGACATCCTGAGTTTGGCCAGGGAAGCCCCAGGGTGGAAGGAGAACCTACTCTTGCAACTTAACCTCTAGCACTGCAGCGCACACACCACTCTACACACGCAAATAGATAAAATCCTCTGTTTCCTTTCTTACAAACAGGGTTTCTCCTGCTAGGCAGTGGCGGTGCACAACTTTAGTCCCAGCACTTAGGAGGCAGAGCCTGAAAGATCTGAATTCAAGACCAGTCTGGTTTACAGAGCCCAGGATACCCAGGGCTACAGAGAAAAACCCATTTCATAAAACCAAAATAAACAAATAAAATGAAATAAATAAAAAGGCAGGCAGAAGGAACAAAATAGGGCTTAACTGTATAGTTGTGACTGGCCTGGTCTTCAATATACAGACCAGGCTAGTCTCAAACTCAAAGAATTCCACCTTCCTCTGCCTCCAGCATGCTGGGATTAAAGGCATGAACCTCCACATTCAGCAAATAAAATAAGAATTTAAAAAAAAAGTGGCGGTGGAGGCACACAACTTTAATCCCAGCACTCGGGAGGCAGAGGCAGGTGGATCTATGTGAGTTTGAGGCCAGCCTGGTCTACAAGAGCTAGTTCCACGACAGGTTCCAAAGAAAAACCCTGTCTGGGTAAAAAAAAATCCCAATAAACATAGTGTATATCCATTACAGGTATTTTTTTAAATTTTTTTTTAAAGATTTATTTATTGGTTATATACAACATGTTTTCCTGCACACCAGAAGAGCGCGTCAGATCTCATTATAGATGGTTGTGAGCCACCATGTGGTTGCCAGGAATTGAACTCAGGACCTCTGAAAAAGCAGTCAGTGCTCTTAACCTCTGAGCCATCTCTCCAGCCCCCCATTACAGGTATTTTGTTCCCCACAAATTCACCTACCCATAAAATGTTAGCACAACACAGGAGTGCTTCAAGGAAAGACTGGAAGAAACCAAAGGAACTAGACAAGGCGAACCCTGCCTGCTTACTAGAAATATCAGTTATATACCATCACATGTGGTATGATATGAATATTAAAAAAGTCTAGTGATGGGTGTGGTTGCATACACCGGTCACCCCAGCACTCTGGAGGCACAGGTAAGAGCATCAAGAGTTCAGAGACACAGCTTGAACTCAGCTACACAGCAAGCTGGAGCCAGCAAGGACTACACAAAATCCTGTCCAAAAAAACCAAAACCAAACCAAATCAATACAGCTTCTGTAGAGGGCCAGGGATGTAGCTCAGCTGCAGGGTGCTTGTTTGAAATGCACGAGCTTGTAGGGTTCATTTCTAGTACCACAAAACTAAGAAACACAACAATTTTGGTTTTTCAAGACAGGGTTTCTCTGTGTAACAGTCCCAACTGTCCTGAAACTCACTTTGTAGACCAGGCTGGCCTCAAACTCTGCCTCTGCTTCCCAAATCCTGGGATTAAAGGTGTACATCACTACCACCTGGTACAAAAAAGGCTTTTAAAAGACAGATGTCAGTCACATAATTAAAATCTAAAAGTGAAGGAGTAGAGCGCTTGCCTAGCATACAGGAAGTTCCGGGTTGGGATCCCCAGCACCACATATGATGGGCACAACGGCAAAAACCTGTAATTCGGCACTCCTGAGGTGGAGGCGAGGGTCAGCTTCAAGGTTAGCCCTCAAATTCAAAGTCAGGCTAGTATATAAAAACCTCTCTCTTGGGGATGATAGCTCAGTGGTTAAGACTTGTTACTTGGGCTGGAGAGATGGCTCAGTGGTTAAGAGCACTGGCTGCTCTTCCAGAGGTCCTGAGTTCTAATTCCCAGCAACCACATGGTGACTCACAACCATCTGTAATGATATCTGGCGCCTTCTTCTGGCGTGCAGGCATACATGGAGGCAGAATGTCATATACATAATAAATAAATAAATCTTTTTTTTTAAAAAAAAAGACACTTGTTACTCTTTGTAGAAGACTTGGAAGACTTGGGTTCGGCTTCTAGCACCCACATGGCAATTCATAACTGTCATAACTCCAAATCCGAGGGATCTGACACCACCTTCCTGCCCCCAAAGGCACTTCATACACATATGGACACGCAGTCAAAATACTCATAGACTTAAAGACTGGTCTGTGCGTGTGTATTTTTGTTTTGTTTCTTTCTGAGACAGGGTTGCTCTGTAGATCTCTGGCTGTTGTGGACTGTTCCTTTATAATGTGTGAAGATGTGTCACTGTGATTGGTTCAATAAAAAGCTAAACAGCTAATAGCTAGGCAGGAGGCATGAGCAGGACTTCTGGACAGCTCTGGGAAGAAGAAAGACAGGGTCACCAGTTGTGTGCAGAGAGGTAAAAGCCACAGTTTATGTGGCAGTACACAGATGAATAGAAACAGGTGGATTTAAGTTATAAGAGCTAGTGGGACAAGCGTAGGCCATAGGCTGAGCTTTCATAATTAATAATAAGTCTCTGTCTTATTTTTGTGAGCTGGCAGCCCAAAGAAAAATCTGTCTACATCTAGCTGTCCTGGAACTCACTCTGTAGACCAGGTTGCCCTTGAACTCACAGAGATCCAGCCTCTCTACCTCCTGAATGCTGGGATTAAAGGCGTGCGCCACCACCACCTGGCTGATAAATACCTTTTAAACTCACAAAAATCCTACTTATAATACAGCAGGTGTGACAGGACACCTACACCAGCATGTTCTTAGTCCTGGAGGGTAGGAAACCGAAGGACCTAGCTCTGAGGCTTTCCAAGACCCAGAAAGGACAAGGTCAGGAAGTAACTGTTAATGCCCTGGTAGCCAGAAGACTACTGGATTCTGGACCGGAAAAGGGCAGTTCTTCCCAGATACCATCTCTCCATCTTGAACAACTGAATTTCCGGTGGGGCAGGCAAGTGAGCTAAGCAGACACCAAGACAAACATACATGTGCTTATGCAGACACATATACACACAGGTATATTTCACACACAGACATGCATAGAGACATGTAAACAAAGACATGGAGAAGCATCAGGAGATTTCATAAACACTGAGGGGGGAGGGAGAGAAGGTGAAAGGGGAGGGGGATGTGAGTGATGCAGAGAGCAGAACCCCGTCCCCTCGGGGGAAACAAAAAAGAGAGAAAGGAAAGACAGAGAGACAAAGAAAACCCAATCTTTTCCGTCTGCAAATGTTCCCCTGGGTATTCATTAGATCTGAATCCCATTCCAACCTCCTACCAGGAGAGATGGAATAGCTTATACCATTTCAATTTCTTCTGCAAAAGAAAAAAGCTAATCACCCTGATCTCAGGAGATGTCACTAGACATCGTAAGAGGTTACTGCTGCTGCCTGCCTGCCTGCCTGCGAGTCCTCAAGATATGGAGGGAGACCTGATAACCCAACCATACAGAGGACAGAGTCAAGCGTCTGGTGCTAGGCAGTGAGGGCTGAGGTGAGGGTACTCACGGATAGCAGAGGAACAGGAGGTTCAGGAAGGAGTAGGTCCTGAAGAGGTGGATGAGGGACCGGCACAGACTCCAGCCTGTTGCCGTGAGAACGGTGAAGCGGGTGAGGAACAGCAGGATGGAGCGAAAGAGGGAGACCTTCCCCCTCTGAGAAGCCTGGGTCGGGGTGAGATATGACAGGATGGGGCCTTGGATGGAGGCCACAGAAGCCATGCCCAAACCCCACTGAACATGGCCTATAATCCCACCCAGGGAAAGGTGCACAGCAGGCTGGGAGGAGCCCAGTACAGTCAGTCTTCCTGATGCCCAGTGGGTTGAGAGAGCCAATGAACACCATTACCATTCTTCAGATAAGTCCATGAGGACCTCAAAGAAATGCCTTAGGTTAAGGGTTAGGTGTTGCCTTCTTGGCATCCCAGGGGAAAAGGGGAGTCCCAAAGTCCCTGGCCAGCCTCTAGGACCCAATCACCTCCTTCACGATGGACCCAATGAAGCGGCGGCCCAGCACAATGGTGGTCACCATCAGCAAGTTGAAGTCGATCAGGTGGAAGTTCTGTCGGGGCAGAGGCCTGGGGGTCACATGGGCCCCTTCTCCACACACAGGTTTTTCTCATACCCATTACCTCCCACTGCCCAGTCCTTTCCACAGAGACTGTCCCCATTCTCTGACCTTCATTGGCCTCCAGCTGACTCAGGCCAGGAAATTACCTAGAGGAGTAGAACAGGACCCAGAGAAGGGAAGTGGGACAGTCCCTGGGGATAAGAGAGTGGTGTGTGAGCATTCTTGCTCTAACACCCATGTTCCTGAACCTCCTCTTCTGTCCAGGGTTCTTTCCACCCCTGGAACATTCATACAGGCCCATGACTCAGCTCTCAGACAGGCCTTAAGACCCAGTCTGTGTCAGATTCAAATCTGTGCCCAGCAGAGTCCTAAGCACACTAGAAATAGTTAAGAGTCATCAGTTCTGTTCCCTCTACCTTCATCAGGCCCAGTATGGAACCAGGTATATAGTGTTGCTTGGTAAGCTATGCTAAATTTAAGCCAAGCAACACGCACACGCGCGTACACGCGCACACACACACACACACACACACACACACACACGACCATGATTGAGCACATACCAGGGAGGTGTGGGAGGGTGGGTGGGAGGGTGGGTACCACCAGACTGTCTTATAGATGTTGATGTAGTGCACGAACAAGGCTATCAGCTGGCAGAAGAAGAGCTGGAGCTCAAACAGAATGCTGGCCTGGACTGGCAGCTCGGGAATCTTGCAGTGCTGTAGAGGCACAACTGTCTGGGCGGCCAGTGGAGGGCTGGAGAGGCCTGTCCCAGAACTGGTCCTGGAGGGAGAAAATAGTAACATCAGGAGCGAACCTGAGGACCCGATGGGAAAAGCTTCTGGATACAGGCCTGCGGACTCCAACAGCTCACAGGGATGGAGTCCTCCTTAGCTTGCCCGGGAGACAAAGGACGTGAGAAAAGAGCCTTTCCTCCCAATTTGATTCCAGTCTCCCACACTTCCCAGGAGTTATTAGGTTTGCTTTACAGATTAGGAAAAGGCGGTCCAGAGGCAGATGGCAACCTGTGCAAGCAGCCATCAGTAAACCAGGACTAGAACTCAACTGGAACCGAGGGCTGTGTCTGTTCTACCCAGTCTCATGGCATCTCCCCAAGAGAACACCCTCGAAGCTTGCTCTGGCTTTTGTGGCTACTCAGACCCCTCTAACTCCATCTGATATGTAGGACACAGTGCATCCTAACATCCAGTAAGGGATACTGGCCTCCACACTGCCACAGGAAGGAATGAGAGGGGCTTACCTGGCTCGAGAACGGACGCTGGTCACAGATGCACTGGAAGTATGGCCTCCACCAGAGGCCCCTGAAGATCCTGGCTCACAGAGTGGATTTCGACAGTAAGACGTCCTGTTGGGACCTCTTCGTCCTCCTGTAGGGCACATGTCAAGGATGACAACAATACTATCTTTCAATGAACTGGTATTTCATTGTCTTCCTTTCTTCTGTTTGATTTTTGAAACAGTGTCTCTTTATGTAAGCCTGGCTTTCCTGGAACTTGCTATGTTGGGGAGGCCAGCCTTGAGTTCATGTATTCACTTTCTTACTCAAACTTCAGGGGCCTATAAAGCAGATCTCACCTGTTGTTCTCTGCCGTGCACCCCATCCCTCCCTGTGCTTTAGCTAGCGCGCTTCTCTCCCCTCTCCCCAGTAAGTCATCCTGTACCTTTGGTCAGGAGAGCTCTTCCTAACGGCACTTTTTAATTTATTTTTCTTCTTCTAGTGGAAATTTTCCATTTTTATTTTACTTGGTATTACCCTGTGTGAGAGAGTGCATACCACATCGTGCACAGAGAGGTCAGAAGTAACTTCTGGGAGCTGGGTTCCAGGGACTGAACTCAGGTCGGCAGGTCTGCACAGGTCTCTACCTTGTTCTTGTTACTTTCAAAATCAGGACCTCTCATTGGTCTGGGACCTGCCAATTAGGTTAGGCCAACTGGCCAGGGAGCCCCAGGACCCACTGGTATCAGTTTCCACAGTGCTGGGCTTACAAGCTCATGCCACCACACTCAACTTTTTTACATGGGTTCTGGGGATCAAACTCAGGTCGTCATGCTTGAATGGCAACTACATTACACACTAAGCTATCTTCGCAAGCCTTCTTTTTAAAAAAAAAATTCATTTCTTTCTTAAACATACTAAGCACATGTTCTACCACTAAGATTCATCACCAGCAAATGTCACCTTACTGACAATTGTTTATGTTCATGTATGTGTACCTATGTATGTTTGTGTGTGTGTGGCTGAAGGCCAGAAATTTAAGACCAGTGTCTTTTCATTTTGTTTTTTTTTTTTTGGGGGGGGGGTAGTGATTTTTGGTTGTTATTGTTTTTGTTTTTTGTGTTTTAAAGGAAAGGTCTCTCTGTTATCCTGGAACTCACTCTGTAGACCAGGCTGGCCTCAAACTCAAGGATTTAACTGTCTCTGCCTCTCAAACCCTGGGATCAAAGGTGCTTGCCAGCACTGCCCAGTCAGTGACTTTTTGATGATGCTCCACTTTGTTTACTGAGACAGGGTCTCTTGTTGAGCTCAGAGCTCATCATTTCACTAACCAGTCTGCCCCAGGGATCCATTTCTGCCTCCCAAGTGCTGGGATTGATTACGGGTGGGTTGCCACACCCGCCCAGGCAGCTTCAGATGGGTGCTGGGGACCCCAGCTCTGCTCCTCATGCTTGCACAGCAGGCACTTCATCCACTGAGCCTTTCACTAGCCCCCCAACCCCGTTTCTGAAGGGTTGCCTCCATTACTCTCTCTAACTTCTATTTTTTTTTCCCACAATTCAATCCCTGAAGTGGTCTTTGTTGTTGCTGTTTTTCGAGATAGGGTTTCTCTGTAGCTTTGGAGCCTGTCCTAGAACTCACTCTGCAGACCAGGCTGGTCTCAAACTCATAGAGGTCCATCCGCCTGCCTCGGCCTCCCAAGTGCTGGGATTAAAGGCATGTACCACCACTGCCTGGCTGAAATTGTCTCTCTTTTTTTTTTTAAGTTTTTTAAAAATTTATTTTATGTGTATGAATGTTTTGCCTGCATGTATGCATGTGTACCACATTTGTGCCCAGCGGGTGCAGAAGTCAGAAGAGGGTTTCAGATCCCTGGAGCCAGAACTCGAGATGGCTGTGAGTCATAATGTGGGTGCCAGGAAATTGAACCTAGGCTCTCTGCAAAGAGTAACAAACACTCTTAACTGCCGAGCAATCTCTCCAGGACCTCTGAAATTATCTTATTTGTTATCATGTTTACTGTCTCGGCCAGGCAGTGATGGCGCATGCCTTTAATCCCAGCACTCGAGAGGCAAAGGCAGGTGGATCTCTGTGAGTTCGAGGCCAGCCTGGTCTACAAGAGCTAGTTTCCAGGACAGGCTCCAAAGCTATAGAGAAACCCTGTCTTGAAAAACAAGTGAACGAACAAAAAACCATGTTTACTGTCTCACTAAAATGGAAGGTCAGTAAATTAATTTTTTAAAGCAACTCACTATGTAGCATAGGGTAGCCTAAAACTCACAATCTACCTGCCTCAGCCTCCCAAGGGCTGGGATTTCAGGCATGTGCCACCAGACTGTATATGCCTTTGTCACTGCTGTTTCTTTATTCCAGTTTACTGGGGAATATATCGATAAGTGGATAGTAGCAGTGAGGTGGTATTTTCAGAATAGTAAACTGAGTTTCCAGGATGCAAGAGGCAGTAAGTAGAAGGCTCTGAGTCATGAGCTTCTCAGCTCTGGTATCTGCCGCACTTCATCTGGATATGAGTCTCCAGTAATTTACGATCTAGTCGGATATGAGACAAGTTTTTCCTCTAGGGCTTTGAGATCTAACTCAATGATCCAAGGCCTGAGCTTAACGTCGGAATGGCCTCTGAGGCAGTGCCATGGTAGGGTATCCAAAACTTAGATTTTACAAAGCTATATCCTTAAGCTTAGTGGTCTAGCCTAAGATGCCGGGCAGCAACCTGCACACAGCTCCCAAATCCTTAACTGAAGTTATAACTTGTTCATCTTCCTCATGGCAACACTGTAGCCTCCATTCATACATAATGTGTCCATGCTTCCCTGGCTCTGAGGGTTTTCTGACAGGTCTTCAAAATGTGCATGTCCAAAGCTCTGACCTCACCAAGCCTCCACACCGGAAGCTTTGTTCATATACTGTTATATTTGGCTTGGAAAACCCCACATAGCCCAAGAACTCTGCCCACGCCCACTCTTTTAGAAGCTCAGCACCCACATAAAGTCCTCAGTCCAGGAACCCCCATCACACACAACTGTCACCCCAAAGACTGCGCCCACATGCTAGTCAAAGCTCTCGAGGACTAGAAGCTTGGCTCAAAATGGGCTATCTTCGGGGGCTGGGTCTCCCTACTGTCCCATAGCCCGCAGCGTAAGCCCCTTTAGTCCAGAAGGTTCTCTGTCACACCGGCGCCCACCCCGTACCCTAGGTCGCAGCCCGTCTCACCCCCGTCAACCCCCACGAAGCCCAAGTGTGGGCGGGCCCCCCCACCCAGTCCCCCCCCCCCCCCCGCCGCGGCCCCCCCCCCATGGTCCGGGCCTCCTCTTTTTGGAAGCTCCACCCACCACGCAGTGTCCCGCCCCCTCAGGACCGGAGGGGCGGGGTCCGGTCTGCGCCGCGTCCTTCCCCTCCCCCTCCCCGCGGCTCCGGTCCGCGTGGGGCGACGGCTAGCAGCCGAGCCACCCCTATCCCGCGGCCCCGGCGAGCCCAGCCAGCTCTGCTCACCCATCTCCTTCCCCCGGCGCTCTCCGCTCGCCGCCGCAGCTCCTGCGGGCAATATGTCGGTGGCGACGGCGGCCGGGAGAGGACTAACCGCCGCAGCCTAGGCCGGGTATCAGCCGCGCGCTCCCGCCAGCTGCTCAATTTGCATACTAGGCGGGCTGGGACCGGGAGCGCGCTTCTTAAAGGGGCCGTCTGATCAAAGGCTGTGCTTGCGCTCTTTGTTTAGCCTTCCCCACGCCTTTCCTGCAGCAGCTGCTGAAGAAATTCTGAGAGCCACGGACCCACCTCCTGTGTTTCTCCCCATTTCTTTTCAGGCGGTCTTCCGCTGCTGCCGAAATCCTATCCTTGAGCACCACAGTCACCTCAAATTCAGCGCATCCCAAACTGGATTCCCCCTACTCTCTCCTTTTATTTTACTTAGGTCAACCCCAGCGAAAGCCTAGAAGTCACTTTCCTTTTCCTCCAAAATGCTATCTACATCTAGTCTTTGACCTAGTCTTGCTGACCCTAAGCTCTAAGCATCACATTTATTCCACTGTTTATTTCACTGCCACTACCTTAGTTTATGGCCTGTGCCATCCATTTTCCAGCTTTGAATTTATATTCTTGGTTACCAATAATAATCACCTATTAGGGTTTGTTTTTTCAACATTTTAAAATTTGGCGTGCGGGGGCGGCATGTAGCAGTGGAGGTCGGAGGACAACTTGTAGGAGTCGAGTTTCTTTTCCTACCATGTAGGCACCCCAGTATCAATTTAAGGCTGTTGACTTGATGGTAAGAATCAACAGCCCTTTGATTTTGGGTTTTGAGAAGGAGACTCTGGTAGCCCAGGCTGACCCCTCAACTTGCTAAGGATTGGAGGATAACCCTGAATTTCTGATCTTCTGCCTCTTCCTCCTGAGTGTAGGGATTATTACTCACACTAGGATAGGCTTATGCAGAGTTGGAAATCAAACCTAATGTAAGCATTCTCTACCTCATAGGTGCTGAAGATTAAATGAGGTAATCCACATAGTACCTATTTTAATCAGTGTTAGCAATCATTATATTTGGCAAACATTTAACAGGGGAAGGAAGGCTATAAAACAAAGTATCTGGTGGAGAGGGGAAGATTCTAGACAGAGTGCAAGGGCACTGTTATGTTTAAGAAGTAACAACGAGCTAGGCAGTGGTGGCGCATGCCTTTAATCCCAGCACTCGGGAGGCAGAAGCAGGCGGATCTCTGTGAGTTTGAGGTCAGCCTGGTCTATAGAGTGAGTTCCAGGACAACCAGGGTTGTTACACAAAGAAATCCTGTCTCAGGGAAAAAGCAAGACAACAAAAAATGAGTAACAAGAGGGCTTGAGAGATGGCTCAGGGACTAAGAGCACTGGCTGCCCTTCCAGAGGTTCTTAAAAAAAAAAAAAAGCAGCAAGAAGGGGGATGGAGAAATGGCTCAGTGAGTAAGAGTACACACTGTTTTTACGGAAGACCCTTAACTCCAGCATCTCAGTGTACACTTGTCAACTTGACACAAGCCAGGGACATCTATGAGAGAATAACTGCATCTATCAAATTGGCCAATAGGCAAGTATGTGGGGCGTTTTCTTGATTGATTGATTGATGTGGGAGGGCCCAGCCCACTGTGGGTAATACCACAGGTGGTCCTGGGATATATAAGAAAGCAAACTGATCAAGCCATCGGGAACACACCAGTAATTATTCCTCCATGACCTCTGCTTCAGTTCCTGTCTCCAGGTTCCTGCTCTGACTTCCCTTCATGATGGACTACAGCTGTAAGCTGAAATACACCCTTTCCTCCCCACACTCCTTTTGCTCATGGTGGTTATCATGGCAACAAAAACCCAACTAGGATACAGGAGAGCCTGTCTCTGAGGGTACCAGCACTCATGCTCACACACACACCACAGTCTCAAAGTTAACCTTTAATAAAGAGGAGCCAGAGAGATGGCTCACCGGTTAGCACAACTTGCTGTTCTGGAGGACCCAGACTCAATTCCCAGCACCTACATGGCAGCTCTCAACTGCCTGTACTCCAGTTCTAAAGGATCTGATCCTGTCCTCATGCATGCATACACTGGAAACAGGTAAAACACCTGGCATCCTGAGGACACAGTGATGACAATTTGCTACTCCCTGATGGGGGAAACAAGTTCTTGTAGACCAGGCTGGCCTCGAACTCAGAGATCCATCTACCTCTGCCTCCCGAGTGCTGGGGTTAAAGGTGTGCACCACCACCACCCGGCTGAGGAATAAATTTGCTATAGTTCAAGGGTTTTGTTCAATGTTCTAGTGTCTGCCTATTGTACATAAGGCCCTGAAATTCATCTCTAGCACTACCATATTTTTTAAAGCGTGCTTTGCCACACAGGAATAGGTAACTGCCTGTAGAGTTGGTAGGAAAATGTCTATGAATGTGTATTATAGATGCTCCTCCAAAAGTGAATTCTCAGGAGCTATTTACTGAATTGACTTGGCATGCATACAACTCAGTTCCAACCCACTTTGTATGACTGCTTTCTCCACATCCATTCCATCTCCCAAAAAGAAAACCGATTCTCCTTTGGGAATTTGTCTTCCTCACTGTCCATTTGTGCTTGAGTCAATATGCTTGCAGTTCCAGTGGGCACACCCCAGCTTGACACACCATCTGAATTAACTGGGGAAGAGTCTCAATGAGGCATTTCCTAGATTAGATTGGCCTGCAGTGATTGTATTATGGTCACTAAAGTGGGAGGACTCATTCCCTGGATTGGGGGTCCTGAACCGAAGAGAAAAGGAACGTGAGCACCCATGTTCTCTGTTCTTGACTGGATAAAATCAGCTGCTTTAGCTTCCTGATGCCTTGATTTTCCAGTGCAGTCTGGAACTGAGAGAGAAAACAGACCTGTTCCCTCCCAAACTGCTTTAATCAGGATATTTTTACAGCAATGGAAAACAAAGGAATTGAAGCTAGAAAAAAATTGATAGAGGATCCTAAAAGCTGCAAGGAATTTCAGTTTAAGTCCATGTCTTTGAACCTATCTAATTGGAAAGTCAGGATTAATTCCTAGTTACTCTCACGAGTTTTAAAGGAGAGCAGATAGCTGAGACACAGTATATGAGGAATGGGGTGGCTGTCATCAAGCTCAGATTTCCTCCCCTAGCTTGGTCCCTTCAGAATGGTCTGAATGTCAGTCTCATAGCTGATCTTACTTCCCCGCCATGAACATCCCACCAGAGGGAGCCAAGTACAAAGAAATGAGTTTACAAAGCAACAGGGAAGAAAAGCAGCTCTGACCTAAGTGTTGTCTTGCTTCCTTCTCAGACACATGCTGAGGGGTTGGGAAATGTTAGTGTGATAACCAGGAAGATGTAAGGCGTAAAAGCTGTCTGTGGGAAGTGTGCGTGTGTATGTGGGGGGGGGGGGGTGTAGATTTTTGTATCATAAGCCCCACCGCCCATGAGCTCTGCTTCTAAATTACTAGGCACAACTAGAATACCCTGTGCCATCCGAACAGTCTACATACCCACAGAGGATGATAAGGCTCAGAATTTGAAACAACTAGACCAAAGTAAATGATTCTTGACTTTCCTTAGCATGTTACAAAGACAGCGACTATCTTTCCTGAGAGTCCTCTGGAAATGTCTAAGGACTCCCAGGCTGAAGGTTCCAACGTGAGAACCTTCAAAAAAAGGAGCTTGGGAAGACTACGGTAGCACACACCTATGATCCCAGCACTTGAGAAGCAGGCCAGGCCTACATAAGGAGACCCTGTCTCAAAATACTAAAGATTATTAGTAAGTAAAGAGCTGGAACCAGAGCCAGGATTCAAGGCCAGCCTGAATCCCGTTTTCAACATAAAACACATAGAGAGTTGAAATCACTGTGTGGGAACAGTATCCATGAGGCATTAGGGTTCCAGTCTCTATATCAGAAAGGACAATGGGAGACAGGTGTGGTAGTGTATGCCAGAAATTCCAACACTCAGGAGGCTGTGGCAAGTATGAAGCCAGACTGGACTACAGTTAGACCTTGTCTTACCTTCCTCACCACACAAATCAAAAAGCAGCAATGGGGTCTAGTTTCTCCACTCATGATTTACTAGCAAAGCACAGCACTACAGATTTAGAATACTTCTTTTTTATTTTCAACTTACCTGCACTAAGAGAGATCTCCTATCCCTAGAAATGTCAAAACAAAGGCCCAAGAAAATTCAACTTACCAAAGCTTAAACAGCATCCAAGACTAGAGAAGGGCTTGGAAACTACACCAAGACTAAAGCACTCAAGAAAGGGCGCTCACAGGCAGAGCAGGTGCCTCCGGAGCCTAGTCCTGGCTCTTGGCCAGGCCTCGTACCCACCCTTCCACAGTCAGTACAGCCTCAACACTCCCACCCTAGTCCCTGGAGAGTCCATCACCCTGACAACAGCTAGGGAAAGGCCTTTCTAAAATATTTATGGCTCAGAGCATCCAGAGGCTTGGGGAAAGCTGATGTCATCCTTCCCAGCTTGCAGGTGACTGAAGAGCATGCCAGCTGGGTGGGTGGGCCCAACTCCCTAAGTCAGAGCTCTCAAAAAAGATCCCTAGGGCTCTTTGTAATGGGAGAAAGGTGGAAGCTGTGTGACTGGACTTCTAAGAATAAACCTGGAAGAAAGGAAGACAGAATCTTAAATGCGAACAGTGTTCTGTACAGACCCAGTACTGGGCATTATAAATGTTTCTCAGATTCTATGAAGTGGGGGAGAATTACTTATGGAACGAACAGGTCCTGAATAATACACAAGTGATGAGCTGAAATCTGAATCCAGATGTTTGACTTCAGTTCTGAACTTTTCTGTAAAATTCTGTGACTCCCAAGTGGCTATCTTGGTACCTGGAGATTGTGGATGACCTGCCAAATTCTCAAGAGGAAACATTAGAACAAAACCCTTGCCCAGGTGTGGGGACCTCGGCTCTCTCCCAAAGCTGATCAGAACCATTCACCAATCATCACTTGACCAAACCTTTATTGAACTCCTCATGCAGGGACAGATAACTTGAGAAATGCCATACAAAGGTGAAGCAGGAACAGCCCCATCCTTCAAGAACTTCTTGGACAAGTGCTAACAACAAAGGATAGATAAGGTTCAGAATTTGAAACCATTTGTCCA